TCCTCCTCCTCCTCCTCCTCCTCCTCCTCCTCCTCCCCCTGTTGCTGCTGCTGCTGCAGCCGCCGCCGCCGCCGTCGCCGCCCCTGCCCCTGCCCCTGCCCCTCCTCCTCCCCCTCCTCCTCCTCCTCCTCCTCCTCCTCCTCCTTATTATCCTCCCTCCTCCTCCTCTTCTTTTTCTGTTTCTTCTTCTTATTATTATTCGTCATCTTCTTTTTCTGCTTCTTCTTCTTCTCTTCTTCTCTCCTCCTCTCCTCCTCCTCCTCCGCCTCCCCCCTCCCCCTCCTCCCCCTCCCTCCCCCTCCTCCCCCTCCTCCCCCTCCTCCTCCTCCTCCCCTCCTCCTCCTCCTCCTCCTCCTCCTCCACCTTGTCTTACTCATTCTCTGTAGGTTCATCTTGTGGCAGGTTGAAAGAATTACTATCGGTAAGCTTCAGAAAACGCTTGAAATCAAGAAGACATCGCAGAAACCCCAGAAACCCGACCAAACACGTGCGAAAACCACGGACATACGACCAGAGGGTACAACACAAGACAGTTTCGATTACCTCCCTCACCTACTTCATCCCTGTTCTTTCTCCTCCTCCTCCTGCCCATCGTCGTCGTCGTCCTCCTCCTCCTCCTCCAACTCCTCCATTCTCAAACATGACCCCTGGTCCTGCGGCGTAGTGCGATCTGTTCATGACTCTTATGCGCATCCAGCCGTTGCGACGAGCCCGACCCCCCTCCCCACGAAGCCATGAAAGGCCAGAAGAGATCAAAACCGCGTACTGCCATGATTCTCCCCCCCCATCGCCCTTCCTGGTGCACAACTACCTCTCGCAACACCAGGTGTCGGACGGGTACGGACCTCCGGGCGTTTCTCCCGAGACCTCTTTGTCACGGGCCATGGTCCTACACCTCAGAGCTCAACACTGCCGACGGCTGTGATGACGGGGGCCGGCCTGTCGTCGGAATGCGCACTGCGTCGGCAGTGGTGCGGACGGGTTGTCGGAGGAGGAGGAGGAGGAGGAGGAGGACGAGGACGAGGACGAGGACGAGGAGCTGGAGGAGGTGGGCGGGCCCTTGTGGAGGAGGGCGGGCCCTTGTGGCCCAGACGTGGCCCTGGCGTGGCGCTGGCTTTCTTCGTGGCACCTCGCAGATATTTCAGGCCTGCGAGCGCTCCAGGGACGGGCGCTGGCTCCTTCTCCAGATCGATCCCACGCCTGAACCACCATTATTCTTACGATGCCAAGTATTATTATAATTCCGAGTATTCCGATTCCAATTATTATAAAAAATTTGTCTTTTATTATTAAAAAAGTTTTGGTCTTGGCGACATCCTCCGATGAAACGAACCTGGCCCTACACTTTTTGGAATGTCCGGCAGCCGCGCAGGCAGAGGGCGGATCCCTTCTCCAGATCGTGCCCTCGCTCTGGCGTCGCGCGCGTGTGCTTGAGAGCAGAAATCTACCAGCCAGATGGATGCCGGGCGGTCTCCTGTCAAACTCCATGCCGTGCGCGCGGGCATACGGTCGAGAACTGGTGCCTTGGTCGCGGCGGCGGCACCGGCGACACGCCATGTCGCCATGCCCTGCGAGTGGATAGCGTGTCGCTCCGCTCCGCGGGGCGGGATGCTCGGGAAGGCTCGATACATTGTCGGTCGGGGATTAGGCCGAAGATAGCGTGTCGCTCCAAAGCGTGGTGGGCCAAAACGGGCGGCGCGACATGCTAGGCCAAAACTCCTGACCGTAAATTTGCGACGTCGGCGCCAGATCTGCGCGATATCGGCACGTCCCCCCGAAACGCTGACGACCAAGATCTCGGCTTGCGCCCATGCGGCCGCCTCCAGAAACCTTCAGCAGGAAGAGGAGGAGGAGGAGAAGGATGACGAGGGAGGGAGGGAGGAGGAAGGGAGGAGGAGGAGGGAGGAGGAGGAGGAGGGGAGGAGGAGGAGGAGGAGAGGACGACGACGACGAGGAGGAGGGGGAGGAGGAGGAGGGGAGGAGGGGGAGGATGGGGAGGAAGGGGAGGGAGGAGGAGGAGGAGGAGGAGGAGAGGAGGAGGAGGAGGAGGAGGGCGGAGGAGGGCGGAGGCGTGGCGAACCCCGACGTTCCTGGGCGGGGCGGGGCAATCGGGCCCCCATCGGCGACGATCCATGGGCGATCGGGGGTCGGTGCATCCCCCCCCGAGCCCGTCCTCCCTCGCGTCAGCTCGGGCATCTCCCCCCTACAGGCGGATTTGAGACGAAAAACCAAAAATACCCCCCAAAGTACTCAAACATTGCCCAACATACAATGGATATATATGTATACACCTATATATATATATATAGATACACATACAAACATACATACATACATACATACATGCATGCATGCATGCATACGTACATACATACATACATACATACATACATACATACATACATACGTACATACATACACACATACATACATACATACATACATACATACATACATGCATGCATGCATGCATGCATACATACATACATACATACATACATAAATACACACATACATACATACATACATAATACATACATACATACATACATACATACATACATACATACATACATACATACATACATACATACATACACACATACATTTATATGTATCGTCCCCAGACTATGTTTTGACAATTTGGGAATATTCCCCCTGTGGAGGGGCAGGCCCGACTCCACCCTGGCGCGCTGAGCGGCCCTGCAGGAGAGATCGCGCTCGGCGGGGCGCGGCCGCGGGAACGCCCCCCCCCCCCCGAGCCTGGAAGACGGCCGAGGGCCGGATCCCGCGACTTGTTGCCCCCCCTTGGGCCGCGCCACCCCCCTCGGCTTTGCCCCTGCCTGCGAGAAGGCCCCCCCGAGCCTGGAAGACGGCCGAGGGCCGGATCCCGAGACTTGTTGTCCCCCCTGGGCCGCCCCTGCCTGGCGGCGAGCGCAGGGGGGAATGGAGAGGAAGGTCGTGGACGTGCCACGACAATGGACACCCCAACAGTCCTATCCTTGAATTTTAGATGTGTGTAAAATGTGGGAAACATGCTCTAAACATGTGTTACACACATGTTGGAAAAATGTTTAAGACATGATTTAGACGTCTGGAAATGATTCGGCAACATGCTTCCTCTCCATTGATCGTCCTCCACAAGAGGAAGGGAGAAGGCCTCCTCGGAAGGCGGCGGGACTTCTGAGGAGCCCCCGCGCCCTCTTGAGAAGTGCTCCCGTGCCTTCGGGGAAGGCCTGGAGCACTTCTCGGGAAGGCCGGGGGGCTTCCGAGCCCTCGGGGGAGGTCTTCTCCCTCTCACTTCCCCCCGGGCTCGCCGCCGAAGTCTTGCCGCCGCTGAGGCAACCACGCCAAGCCCCGCACCAGGCCGGACTGTGTGGACCGTCCGTGCAGGCCCGCGGCGGGGCCCTCCCGAGCTCTCCCCGGCGGGGGCCCGCCGTGGTGGGAAGAAGCACGCGCCTGGCGCGGACTTCTTGCGAGGGGGAAGCGCTCCAGACCTCGGTGGCGCGCGTGGCGAATCCGCGCGAGGCGCCGCACCTGTGAGGCGAGGCCAGGACAGGGGCAAAAACGGACAAGCCCGGACTCTCCGAGATCCGGCAGATGTATACACGGGGCGTCGCGGCCTTCCCGGAGCGTTCTGGATCGCTCTCAGAGCGCTCTGGAACGCTCTGGACCGATTCATCCTTGCCCTGGCCCTTCCCGGAAACGAGCGACGAAAAGAAACGGGTCTTACGCAAGAAGACCTGGCGGCCTTACGTGCGGCTGACGCGGGCCACCGGCGTGGCACAGCGCGTGGAGAAGAGGGTGCTCACGCGGGACCTTACGCGGGAAAGCTTACGCGCGAATGTCGGCGCAGTTGACCCCGTTTTCTCCCGTCGCTCGGGTGGGAAGTACACGTCGTTCATTCACAATCGTGCTCATTTCGAACTAATTGTTTCTGCCCCCCTAGTGGCCAGGAAGAGGCCCAGGATAGAACAATTGGAAGTGAAAGGATCTTGCCCCCCAAACAAAAATCAAATGATTTTCTAAGAATGAGAAATGAACAATGGGTACCTGCACTGCCTCTGCCAGGAAGGAGTTTGAAACGTTGGTGTTGTGTGTTGCGTGTGTGCGTGTGGTGGATCCACGCGTGATGGAGCGCTCCAGAAAGGGGATCACCATCCAGAGCAGGGCTGAACCTAAACGGTGTTTTCTGCTGTCGTTTTGTCTTCAAGTTTCCTCGTTTTGTCTTCAATCCACCTCTACCGCAAAACGAAGTCGAAACGAAAACGGCCCACGAAATCTCCAAAACACCATTGAGATCGAGAGGTCGACGTCTCTGCCCCAGCGGGCGGGAGGCGGCAAGAATGGGGGCGTCGCCTCCGCCGGCGGACGCTGACGATGCGTTCCCAAGAGACGACTGAATGGGGCGTCCGAAGGTCGAAAGGCGTGCCAGATGGGGCGCCAAAAGGTCCGTCCAGGACAGCAATCACAGAAAACGGAGAGGAGGAGGAGGAGGAGGAGGAGGAGGAGGAGGAGGAGGAGGAGGAAGAAGATCGATCGATCGATCGAACTCTCGGGCCAGTTACGTGCTGCACTGCCTCGACCGGGGCCTCGCAGCATTGAGACATCTGGTGAGACCTGGCCGTGGTCCCTCCGTCTGTGGGGGGGCCGCCCGCGCTGCTGGGCGCTCTGGCACTGCCCGCGCCGTCCTCCCCCGCGCAACTGGCAGCGGGCAGGGTGGCGCCAGCTCTTCACGGAGCTCCAAGCTACGACACGGCACGCAAGCCAGCGGGGCCGACTGCCTGAGTCGTGACTCTGTGGCGCTCACGTGAGCGCAACTCTAAAATGTGAACGAAGGCGAAGCTTCTAAGAGGCCGAGGAGGAGGAGGAGGAGGAGGAGGAGGAGGAGGAGGAGGAGGAGGAGGAGGAAGAGGTCCCCCCTCCCCCTCACCGGTCCTCCTCGATACTCGTTCCTCGCCCCATCTCGCTGCCCCGCCGCACCGAAGGGCCGCAGCGGCCTGCAGGTCCGCCGACATCCGCTCCGGGTCGAGGCGGGCCGCGCGGCAAAAGCTGGCCAGGGGCTGGCAGCACCTGCGAATCGAGCTCCTCCTCCTCCTCCTCCTCCTCCTCCTCCTCCTCCTCCTCCTCCCCCTCCTCCCTCCTCCTCCCTCCTCCTCCTCCTCCTCCTCCTCCGTTCTCAGGCTCCCCTCCTCCCCCGCTCCCTCCTCCTCCCGTTCCATGCTGCTGCTCCTCCTCCTCCTCCTCCTCCTCCTCCTCCTCCTCCTCCCATGTTAT